AAGATTGTTTGCTTCCAAAGACATAAACTGCATAAATGTAAAAGTTGCAGTAAACCCGTGTCGCCTTGGGGAATGAGCACAGATGGTAGTTGGACTGTGGTGGTGACAGCACTTCTGCATAAAGGTACAACGACAAGATCGCACCCAACCACCTCGAATGAGACCACAACTCGGTCTGATTCCAACGTCAATCAAACTCGATGTACAAGTCAATCACTACCTCACAGAGACGGACCACTTAAACAGACCCACTCAAATTGCCTTCTTGAATGTGACCATCTCCTTCAACTAGTGTATTCAACTGCCTTAAAGGAGTTTTTGGTGGCCTCATTGGCCCACGAGGTGTCAGGAATGGCAAACTAGCCACCTTGCATTGTCTGCTCCACCTGTCGACTCTGTTGTATCTGGACTACAGTCAACGTGTGAATGCCATTCATCACAAAGGTCACGACAGAAATGCCAATATGCACGGAGGCGTAGGGGAACCCAGTTTAGAACAATGATGAGGAAATGGATGATTATCCCCTTACCTCTAATGTAGTCTGTGTCCAACCAACCCACTTGTACGTGAACAACACGAGGTATGACTAGGTCCAGTTTACCGACGGGGCAATGATCCGACCAGCCAGCCATGCGTCTCAATTCACAGGCTGCCACAGTTATCTGAGAAGCTGGTCCCACAAAGTCCTCTTTTTGAAGGATGGATGAAAGAAATGACACCACACGGTCAGCACATTTTACATCTTAGTTAGGTCTGCTAAAATACAATCGCGGCTTGGTGTCATCAGCATGCGGTGGGTGGTGCGGTATCTCATCCAGCACAATCTCCCATGTGTGTGCATATTGCAAAAGCAACCTTGGCTGGTCACGAAAAGTCGTATATTGTCGGAGAGAAGATTGAGGGTAGGTTGATACCGTTGTTCCCATCCTCAACCACCCGTAAATTCGTCTGACACCGATTTAAAGCAGTTCCTCTCCACATGCGACATCCATCCACCTACCTCTTGTTTGGGGCTGACACCTCGATTCACCTCTTCTACTCCTCTCTCCCTAGTGCTACTTCTCCAATCTCGACAACCCGATTCAAGTGTCATTCCTTACCCTTCCATTCAGTCGTGAATGCAACAGGTTGGGTGGCTGTCTCGCGCGCTCTGCTCTTGCCACCTTGCCAAGACCAATACTAAGAGTGGTGAGGACAAGATCATCCCTCCCAGTGTACCCATCCTCCATTCCCCAAACCCTTCTGTGCATGACAAAGGTCTGTTTCTCCATCATCGGTGCAATCTGCATCACAAACATGGTTGCCATCTTCACTTCATCATGACACACTCACTGTCAATCGACAAGCCTAACGACGAAGTGCAGGGAAACGTCTCCATCTTTCCCAACGAAACGTGCAGGATTGCATTTGGTGAAAATAAAGCTACCTAATCACCACTTGATCGCAGTCATGACAACATGACAAGTGGTGCCTTCAATGACAATGCACTCACTGTTGTTGTGGTCGAAGATGGTGGAGAAGTTGATGCTGGGATTGGTGCGATTGAGCACATCGTCACGAATGTTGTCGCAACGGAAGAAGCAGTGCAGTTCGGTGATGGAACGATAGAGGCAGTCGGCGGAGCGCTTGCTGGACAACTCGTAATTGCGCATCTTCACGGAAGCGTCGTCTTCCAACAGATTCAGCGTCACCACCCGACCCGATATTGTCACCGTCTTCAGACGACAGTAGGGAAACCTAGTCAATGACGAAGGAATTAACCACCTTAAGGCTACACAGACGATCAACGATGCGGATGAGGCAAGGGGATGCGGTAACGCCTGACCACTGCTATTCTGAAGGTCAGATCTTTGAGTATGCAAAGTGGGATTTTGTTGAGACGTGCACAGTGCGATTTGTAGGTCGATAGTTTGGAGCATTGGGATGTGGCACCACCTTGTCCAGACACCCAAACCAATCCACACTGAAAACTGGAGTGGGCAATGTTGTGTGAGGGTGGAGAAGAAGGAGGAGAAGAAGTGAAGGACGCTGCACTGAGATGACACTTCACAGGAGTTGATTGTTCCGAATTGGAGTAGGCTCTCTTGGTGCATTGTCTGCATTTGATGGAGTAAGCATGTGCTACCGCGAAGAGCCATCAAGTCTGTGGTGAGATGACAGCAAATGGGAATTGAAGCAGTCGGAAAGTACTGCGAGAGTTGTTGGTTGGAGGGTAGAGCCTTGTGGACGTCATGAAAACACACCTGCATTCCTCTAATCAAGCGAATTTGAAAACAACAAAGCCAACTTCAGGCACTAGTGGGATGTTTCCTGCCACGATCTGGTTGATTGCGTTTTTGGAGTAAACAGCAGTTTAACTGGACCTGGACCTGGACCAGGACCTGTAATTTAAGTGGGATATTGCAGAGGTAACTGGTTGTTTGGCTGCATTCGCGTGTGTCATGTGACTAATTCTGTTCGACGTCATCCATTCTTGCTTCCATACATCTGATGTAGGCGTTACCAATCTGGCGTGAAGACAGTTATGATGGTTGAAGCAGGGAGGCTCTTTTTTAATGCACTGCATATTTTGGGTGGAAGGTGGGCGCCTACGGAGTGCAAATTTTTTCTCAACAGTATATGCATTAAGCACAGGGATAATGTTTCGCCTCGTAATTTGACAACCCTTGCAGTAACGTGAAGCGTTCAGAAGGCCTTGCATGTTCCGCTGCATCCGTGGTCACGATTACAACCAAGCCTCGCGTCTCCTTTGCATTGAGAACTAACTTTATTTAAAAGTTTTGTGGATCATAATCCCACCTCTAGCTTTCATTCTCCACAAAATATAATCCTTTTAATATGAAAAATGAGACGCGATCTAAATAAACAAAGTATCAGTATCCTTCTGAAATACCTTTGTGTCCGCAAATAATATTGGGTTGCCTTTCATTTTTTTCACATAATTTTGGCCGTCTTTTGTTGTTAAATTCTGACTTGATAAATACCTAAAATTTTTCAACTTCGTCAACTTTTGCTCCTCTTTGCCCGTGAAGTCAGACAGGACTTCCGGTATCGCCTTCCTCGTGGTTGTGGCTGAGGCTGGCTGAATTTCCTTAGCGCTCTGTGCCCGTCCACAAGAGGGCTTCCCCATTTGTGATTCATGGGGACAAGACTACCCTTTTCCTGGGGCTGAAGTTGTACACAGGAGCACAAAAACCAAGAGCATTCCCCTCTTTCCCCACTGGACAATTTCGGCACAACTCAAAGATGTCCCTACTCTCGAGTAACGAATCTGTTGTGTGGCTGGATGGAGGGTGATAAGTCGCAGGCGACATATCCATCACTTCCAGTAGAAGTGGAATATGAAGGCAATGTTGACAGACCAAGAGTGACTTTGTCTCCTTGCCAATTCGTGAGCACATTTTTTAAAAAGATAGCAATTAATTCCAATAAAGTAAAATTCAATGGAAAAGTAACTTGAATGCCACTTAATTTGTGCACAATATATCAACGTAATATTTTGCTTTTTTGAAGGTATCTTTTCACTAAAACTTCGAATATTCCCAATGAACTTGCGCCAAAAACATTTGCAAGTAGGTTCAGGCTAGCTCAGACGGTTCCAGGTAGGCCCTCAACGCAATGTCAGGGTGACTTACCTTCATTATGATAGAGCCCATTATTTTTCTGCTAGAAAGGATAATGGGAAAGTCAAGTGCTTGAATTTAGCCTTTCTCTAAGACAGGTCAGAACATCTTCTCCTCATGCCTTAGGGTTGAGGCATTTGTCAGGTGGGAGTCCGGTATAACCATTTTCTCGATTTGGGATCCACTTGTAGACGGAGAGGGAGCTCTGTCCGGGCACTAGGCACTCATGTCAATGAAGCTTTATTTTTTTGCGATACACACCTTCATTCAACAACATACCTGGTCATCAAACCTTAATTTCTTTAAAAAAGGCTCTTTTCCAGTTTTATTTAAACTTGGCAAAAAATATTCTTTTTAAGAAAAGGTACCACAGTTTACAGTCTACTTTATGTGTGTCCACCCCTGTATATGTATGTAAATTCACCCATTTCACCTTCTTTATCTCTTTTTATCTACGCCTCTCCATTTCTCCGCCTCTAGATATCGGTCTTCCTCTATTGTGCCTTCTCTCTCTATCTGTCGATCCATCTCCTTCAATGCATCTAAGTCCATTGACCAATTGGTCTGTCCATCCATCAGTCTGTATCTCTACCTAGCTATCTATTTATCTGCTGTGGAAGAACAAATTTAAATTCATCACCACTTTTACGTGGGTCTCTCTGCCCAAGAGTCGCTTATGAGTAGGGTAAGTAATTCCAAAATGTGCCTCGGAGCTTGAGGAATCTATCCCTGCAACCGCGAAGGAATAAAGGAACAAGGCTTGAAGTGATATGGCAGAACGGGAGTGAAGGCGACTGTGCACAAGCAACTGTTACAAGATGAGACGTTGGTTCTTGGCACCTAATCCACTTTTATAAAAAGGGAGAGTTCTCTGTTCCCCCCCCCCCCCCAAAGGTAGGTGGGAATTAGTAGTAGAAGTTTCAGCATTTGAACCATTTATGCTTACCGTCTTTTGAGACTCTGAAAATTCGATTTTTAAGATCTTTTAGAGACTATAAAATTCGCAAGACGTTCTAACAGAGGCAAGATCTGACTTCGCACAGAGGGGACAATTAGAAAGTTAAATCAGACTACACTCAACTTCAACTCCCGGTATGGAGTCGGCCAACTTCAGGTGAAGCTGTATGAGGAAGCCAAAGACAACTATTTGTTTTTTATACTTAAAAAATGGGCAAAATCCAACATTCTTTCCAGATCGTTCACCATCTCAGTGTTATGATGCCCCATTCAGTCCTGTGGTAGCCTCCCGTAATCCTGTGCCCAACTCTTTGGCATCATTTAATAACACCCAATGCTGTTTTGATGTACTTTGCTGTTATGACAAGTAGAATCTTGTTAATTGTACTTGATTGTTTAAATGTTTGCACTACAAAGTGTAAATGAATATGTGCCAATCTGTCAGTCTGCACTATCCTGTACTCTTCGCGCCTTTTGTCTAATTTTAAATCCTCACAGCAGGTCAAATTATCACTTGAATCTGATGGATGAGGTTCTACCTTGTCAGCCTTACCCAACTCGTCAAATTCTCTTCCAAAGCTTAAAAATTTGCCTTCAACAATCCCTGGTTAACATTTGGGAAGGGTGTGGTAGTAGAGAAAGTTGGGTTTATCCTAGTAATAATACAGAAGTACATGGCATTCTTGGTAGGTGAGTACTTCATTATCGCATGCAAAATAGCTGCTGGGTATATTTGGCGTTAGACATGTTTCCCCTTGAAGGTGAAGTAAATGGATTACACTTCCATGCATTAGCATCAGATGACAGAGTCAGATTCGAAGACAGTCAAATTGTGCAAAACTTCTCTTGCTCATGCCGTCACGTGGTTGGGAAAAAGTGTTTTCTGACTGACTTGGGTAGAGAAATATCCTTTGTGTTCCAACGTTAACTGAGTCTAGGTATCAACACCCCACAGGTCCAGGGGACCTGCCACTCTACATCATGGTTACTATGTTTGCTAGGTGTGTGTATGTATGGTGGACTGTAGATGCAATTGTTCTTTAGGATTTGACCTTCATCCAGTGAAGGTCAACCAGTGATTACGGCCGGGATCTCTCCACTCGATGGCGCGTGATACGATATAACTGGAGAGCGCAAGAGGAGAATTTTTTTTCGGAAGACAGCAGATATTAGGGAATCTTCTGGAGGAAGGTCCTACATTTGTTTTTTTTTTAAGTTAGCACAAAACTACATAAATCAGGCTGCAAGCGCTTTCCCTGGGGAGATACCCTACTATACTCCATCCGCTTTACTCCTCTGACGTATGGCCAGATGATTGTCACCTTTTCTCGTCACTGGTAAGATCATATGCCAAATTGAAGGGATTGGCGAAGAATAAAATGTGGAAACAGGGGTGCTGGTAGGTCAGACTTTTGTGTTTATGAATTTAAAGCGAACTTACTGTTGAACTTTCTGGTTTATTTGACTTGATATCACAACTAGACGTTACAGAGTGGAAGCCTGGACTGTGTGAGTCTAAGATCTACAACAAAACGATGTTCGATAAGCCCCTAAATTTCCTTCTAGGCATAATAGTTGATTTTGGGGAGCAAATAAACTAATAGCAATAGCGATATGGATGGGGAACAAGCTCCCTGGTGAACATCATCCAGTCTATAGCAAAGAATCCCTAGTAGATCCCCTTTCTTTCATGTGGCGATGCTCAGGTAATTCGTCTACCACCCTACGTTTCTGGCTTGCGATCCGTTCCATTTCCTGGGAGGACTCACTGCCACCGTTACAGAAGGATGATCATCGAGAGTGCGGCCCATCTCAACGCACTGGCGCCCCACCCATCTCCGTAGCCGTAGAAACCAGCTTCACAATGCTAAGTCTAATCAAGCCCAGGAGTTACGGTATATCGTGAAAGATTAGGGTCAATTTACGTACATGTAAACAATACATAACTGGGTATAGAAAGGCCCGAATTCAAATGCAATCCCCACTTTTGGCGTGTCCTATGGCTGCAAACAAATCCATTACATTTTTGGTGGTGCATCATCATAATCGGATTGTTTAGATCCTTTCTAGACTGAAAGCTCTGCTATTCCACTTCCACCTCCTCCTCCACAGTCATGGAATCGGGATAAACTCAGCTAGCCAAAAATTCCATCCATCAAGCGCATTTAACCAACACGAAATATGAGGGTTGGCAATATCAGGACAATAGTGGAGAGCACAACCGAGAGTGACGTATTGACATGTTGACACAGTAAGAGGCTTATTAAAAGAGATATGCTTAAACATCCACGAACATTTTGGGTCACCTGACTAAGAGAAAGCACAAATAGTGACACAAA